CATGGATTAAACTGAGTGGCAGCTGAATTAAAGCCATTGGCAATTTGATTAAACACGGTGGCACTTGGATTAAGCTCACTGTCACGCGGCCTAACTGAGTTGGCATTTGCATTGTTAATTGTGGGGTTTAACGTCACAAACAACCATATGATTATGAGAGACGCCGTCGTGGAGGGCTCCGGAGATTTCGACCACTTGGTGTTCTTTAACGTGCACCCAAATCTGTGTACACGGGCCTACAACATTTCCGCCTCCACCGGAAACGCAGCCGAGATTTGATCCCGCGACCTGCGGGTCGTGGGATCGAATCCCGGCGGCGGCGGCTGCATTTATGCTGCTGAATATGTTTATGCTGAATATGTTGGCGCTTGTATTAAACGTCCGGCTCATGGATTCATGAATTCGCGCCTGAAGGAGCTTGGCGCTCCTTCAGGCGCGAATTAAATCTGGCAACGTGAAAATTTTTTTTGTTCATAATTTCAATATTTAAGCCTTTTAAAGTAAGAAACTCGAAACAAATGCAAAATATGTTTATTGGTTCAATTTTTGCTCAGCGTCCACGTTTGTGTACATTGCGCCTCAAAGCAGTAATATTCGTGAAAGGCGACAAAGAAAAAAACACGCTTTCCATTTAAATTCAAAATAACTTCTTTCAATGTAATGTTGGGAGAAGTTACCAGAAAAAGTCTATTTAGTGTGAAAGAGGTAGAAGCAGTCATTCTGCGATGTCAGGCAAAGAAAAATGTCACACTTCCTGCAGCGGACGCGGCTCTTGGATGAGCATCCCTCCCTCCTGCAGCGTTGTGCGTTGGGTATGTTCATTTGCTGTGACCAGTGGTGGATGCCGTCATAGCGAAGAGTGCTCACTGGCAGGGGTGACGCATTCGGTGCCTTCCTTTTCATCACCTGGGGGTTCTCACTGCTTGGTCACCCACGCTTTTTCTGGGGCTTGTTGACGCTCAGCAGGCAGCTTGCGACATCTCTTTGAAATGCCATCATATCTATTGTGTCTTTTTTAGCAACCCTTCTGCATTGGCATCTCTGATGTACTCTAGCCAACTGTTACAGAGGGCAAAAGAAGCAAAATGGGATATCACTCTCACAGGCCACTTGCTGGTTCCTGTCCTCATTGGGTAGAGGGACATGATGAAGTCTAGTTTGTCCACTCCACCCATGTATTTGTTGTAGTCTAGAATTACCTCAGGACATTCGATGTCGACGTGGGCCTTTGAAGCTTCGCTCCATCTTCTTACCGCGCCAACTTTTCCGACTCCTAGGTGAGTAGAGGCCATGTTGACCACGCCATTGTCTTGCCAACGGACAAGAGCAACGTCGCCGTCCACGGAAACCCTTTCATCGTAGCCTCCACGTCCTTCCTTCCTCATTTCTTTGTCGGTTTTCAGAACGCAACCTGCCAAGTGGTTTCCTCTAATTGTGCCACTAGCCAAAATACCAATCTCTTTCAACTCCAGAAGCAGTTTCACTGATGTGAAATAGTTATCCATGTAGCACTTAATGTTCTGTGCCTTCGGGAGCTGTTCAACAAGGCGCATTACGACAGAACCACCAAGTCCAAAGTGAGAATGCTCTTTACTCACCCCTGTTCCCTTCCCTTGGTAAAGCTCAAAGTCATGTGCTAGCCCATCAAAGCTGCAGCGCACGAAAACCTTTACCCCTTCAGGGTTTGGTTTTCCCTTTACAAATTGCTTTGCAGCAATACGCCCCGTAAATGGCACCATCTGCTCATCGATGCTATTTTTTTCCAAGGGAACAAGCTGTAAGCATCGGCCTCTCACAGCTTCTAACAAGGGCCTAACTTTCAAAAACTTGTCGAGGCTGTTTGGGTCCCGTTCTGCATTAGCGTCAGTTATGTGAAGGGCGCCTCTGATTTTGAAGAACCTCTTCACACCCATCGCATCCGCTATTGCGGGAATTCTCGTGGCAGCTTGCCAGTACATTCTGACGCAGGGGTACTTCAGAACACCCATTAGCATGAGAATCCCGAAAAACACTTTGATCTCCTCTTTTGTTGTGGCTAACACGGTGCCGTCTCTCTGCAGGACATACCTGTTCGTGAATTCAGCAAAATCTTGAAAAAGGTCATCGGTGAAATACTTGCTGAAATACACCAGTGGCTGCTCAGGCGCTGACGCTGTTTCCGGATTGTAGTCGCACTCAACATCCCTTAGGGCAAACTCTTTCTTTGTCCACTTGATCTCAAACTTCTTGGATGCCGCAGGCTCCTTCAAATTTGTGACTGGAGTTTGTGATGTTGAAGGCTGTGCTGAGGAGGACATCGATGCGCTCACCTGGCCATTGGCAGGCTGAAACCAACAGTTAAACATAGAAACAATGTCCCTTTAGATATTTGTGCAAGAAATACGACAGTTTGGCAGTGTAATGCAAACTTACTATGTTCTCTTCATTCTCTTCCTCCTTTTCGTCGTCCGAAAAGTCTCCATCGGAAACATCTCCATTGGCTATTTTATTAAGTACGTCTTCTGCTGTTTCATCGTCGACTTTTTGTCGTCTCGATGCATGATCTTGAACTCCTGGTGACAAAAATTATTAACGTAAACATCATTTGATGCTGGCGGAAGTGAAACACAGAGAAATAGCAGCCTTTCAACAAAGGCGGCACTGAAGCGCAGTGTCCACGTTCGTGGACGCGAAATTTAGCTGAACCTTTCCATCATTACAAATGATTTCCTATTGCCAAAATATTGTTAAAAGGCATGCGGGATATCTTGGTTATTACTGACAAATGCAAAATTTCACGCCAGCTAAAAAGGTACGAAGTAAACGATAAAAACATCAGAGCCACTTACGCGTCCCGCCATAGAAAGTTGAGAAGTTGAGGTGTCCATTTGGACTTCTGTTTATGATGTTATTTAGTAAGTAGGTGCTCCTAATCCCTTTTGGCACAGGGCAGGCGCCAGCAGCGCCACAGGACAAAGTTGTGCGCTTCAACGCACATCCATACACACGCACACACACATCACCAGTCAGGCGCTTGCCGCGCCACCGTCAAAAAAAAAAAAAACATTTTGTGTTTTACACGCACTTCACGCGAACACGCACTCACACGTTTTCCACTTTACTGTTCGAAGAAAGAAAGGTCTGGTAGTAATTGCCCGTTTCGCCACCAGGGGAAACGTGCCCTCGGCCAAGTCTATCCAGTGGCGTCGGCGTCGTTTAGATATTTTCTGTCGGCCCTTCGTTGCGCTGGACACTGTCGGGGTGTTTGTCCACCTGCCAGCACAGTCTGTCCCAGAGTTTTAGACGTCGCTTGGCACTCTCGGTGTGTTCGACTCGGGTGTCGACGGGATCATCTGGGAGACCCAGATATTCCGCCAGGTTTATCTTGGGTAGGTCCCTCGCTCCGAGTCGCGGGCAATCCATCAGGATATGTTGGATGGTTTTCTTCCGTGGCCCCGCATAGGCGGCACGACGGGTCCGTGTCGAACAGTTCCCCAATGCCGCTTCCGCGTGGGCAGTGACCCCGTCCTGGCTTGGAACAGGAGGGCGCTTTCCCGGTCGCCCCTGTAAAATGGCTCACGGTCTGGAGCCTGCTTGTATTCGAGGTATAACTGTAGGCTCCTTTTCTTTGCCGCCGACGTGCGCCACATCTCTGTGCTGGCTTCGGTTATAGTGTTTTTTGTTATTATACGCCATTCTCGTTCCGATTTTGCTTCTTCCAGTTTTGTGTTATGGCCGAATTTATTTTCCAGAGAAGCCAGTCGTTTCATCCACTGTGTTTTTATGCCCCTGTATCGGAGGTGTAGGTATATGCGCTGGCTGTAATTTGTTTCTGGTAGAAACTTTAGCCGGCCCGCATATTGTATTTTTGACCTTGCTTCGCGTGCTTCGAAAGTTGACCAGGCCAACTCCCCTGTTACTGCTGCGTTTGCTGTTGCAAAGCTGCCTCCCAGTAGCCAGCGCCCCAGTTCATTTTGGTGGCGGTCCAAACATCGCACTGTTTGGGTAGAGTACGCCAATGTGTCACCTGCGTAGGTTATTGCAGGCACGGCAAGAGTCTTCCAAAGTGTGCGGCCTACCCTGTAGGGGTTGTAGGAATGCCGTGACAGGTGCCACACCCCTACCTTTTAGGCGGTTGGATTGTTTTAGGAGTAATTCTTGGTGTTTGTCAAGGTAATTCTTTTGGTCTGATATTGTTATGCCTAAATATCTGTATGTTGCTGTTTTCTTGATGGTGTTGCCTTGGATGGTGAATGTTATGTCTTTGTCATCAATGTTTATGCCCATCCATTGTGTTTTGTCAGTGTTGAATGTGAGGCAATCTTTTTCACCCGACGCCAATTTGAACCAGGTGCAAGAGATGGCGCCACGCGTCCTTGCAGCAAGATGCAGAGGTTGCGGGAGCCTTGTTTGCGCGCGAGATTCAAGACCTGTTTTCGAAACACCTAGGTGTGAACTTGGCGTCCACAAATGTGGACGTTGCGCCTGGAGGGGTTCAATGGCGTGCGGGTAATTTAAGCTGGCACTTGGATTAAAGTGAGCGGGAAAACCTGTAGTTTCGGTCTAAAAAACACCGTCGTTTGCAAGCTTGTTTTCTAAGGCAAGCGCTTGTACTTCGAAGGCGACATTTGGCAGGCAGCAATACCTCAAGCTAGACTACCTATATATCGACTTTTTGCAGATTGTCAAAATTAGTTGCAGTTGGCTTTTAAACATGCCTTCAAATACGTCTTCGTTGTTTTTTTTTTTTTTTTACAGGTGTTGCCAGCACTAGGTGTTCTCTGCCAGCACACAGAGCGTTTTATGGAGCTTTATGGTGTTTCGAATAATATTTCACCATAGATTTCACCAAAAAAATTAGAAAAGTTGTCTGACTGCTGCTAGTCACCACACGGAGAACAATTTTTTTTAGCCGGTGAAGTCAAATAAAAAGCATTGTTTGCGTTGTTGAATGGGAAACTAAAATTTCGTTGATCGCGACCTCCAACAGTCCAGATGGCGCAGCGGCGTGTTTGTTTATCATCATTGCATCGACGTGACTGCGTCTGCTACCCTGTGGTGACAGGCATAGAGTTAATATATGGTGACAGGCTTTGCTCATTCAAGTTCATTAACACGAGGCTACAGAGAGTACGTAGTGTATTTAATTTGTTCTATGCGCGGCCTTCGTAAGCTGTTTCGGAGATGGCGTGCTGCGTCGTTACGAGATGCTTCGCGCCGCTCTTGATGCCCCGCTTAGCGCTATTTGCAGAACGGCGACTGCATCGCGGCAGTCTTGTAGCGTTGCCAAAGTGCTTGTTGAGGGATCGCAACAGCGAGGTGGTCTCGGCTCGCCGTATAACCAACCTGACCCATGGCGATCGCTACCGAAAAGGGGGCATCGGAACACCGAGCTACGACGTTATCACGGAACCGGGCAAGGTCAGTGCTCTGCAGTATGTGCCCGACAGCATCGCCAAGCCGAGCTACGCCGACAGCGGCATCGTTGTGGGAGTGCCCAAGGAGCTGGACGTCAAGACCGAAGAACAAGTGGCTCGCATGCGAGAATCGTGCAGGCTGGCTAAGATGATCCTCAGCCGAGTGTGCAAGCAAGTCAAGGTAACTGTTGCTTGCCATTCCTATGACGGAGATGAATTAAGATCGTAAATGCGCCATAAAAATTGGCGCGGACTTTGCAAACTCTGTATAGTATGTTTATCCACAGTCTTTTAATTATTCCTGTTCTTTGCTTTCGATGTTTGTGTCAAACCGCGCAAACGTTAGGTTTGAATCGTTTCGTGTTCGAAGGTAGGTGACAGGTGTGATTATGAAGCTAATATTTTGGGAAAATAAGACAGTTTTATAAAACATTTCTACAACATGATTCAGGTGTGGTGAATAAGTACTGCTATTTTTTATGTAGCTGTTGAGGAAAGGACGAACCGCCGTGCCCATGGCGAAGCCCCACCCGATCCACCTCTTCTTTATTCCGAACAATCATCCAATTCTCCGATGATAATAACGTCGCTCCTCGTCTTCGACACAATTTGTAACATCCTCCGCGCCCCCACAGTGGCGCCTGACGACAAAGAAAACTGAACGCTCACATGAGTCCAAGTTCAAAATGTTCGTCAGTATTAGTAAGAGTTCCATGTCTGTTCTAGTAGTGTCATCCGGGTCTTCTCCTGCACTTGATCGTCCAGCGGTGCTTTCGACCCTTGTTCCAGGCTCGTGCTTCTGAGCGTGTTGACCTTGATGAGCTTGCGCTGTCTCTGAACAATCTTCCTCGGGATAAAAATTCGCAATGAAGGCTGTTCTTTCTTTTTTTTTTATTAGTTTAAGAACAATTACGAAATTGTCCAAGGAGGCACGGCAAAAGGCAAACATTGCCTGACTGGGCTGTGCCACCCATACAGCAGTAGCAGCAGAAAGACATTCACAAATATAAAAGGGTACATAGAAATCAAATACTACACCTCTGATCAATATTACGCAGTCATATAGCAAAAAGAGAACAAAACATAAGTACAATTTTACCCCAAAAAAATATGCACGCACTACTCTCGAACAGAAAGAGAAAATCGCATTATACTCATCAACCCCCTCCCCCACACACATACACAAAACTAGGAACAACTTGTAGGGTTTGCAATCCACGTTTGGGGAAAGAAAAATCAACAAAATACATAACTTTCATACAGAACCATAGATTCTTTATATTCATTAGTCCTCTGAAAATAATAATTTTTTATTGTTTTTTATACGCTTGCTTCCTCATTCCGAATTTGAGAAGATTTATGGCGAAGGTATAGTCATTGAGGAGGTTAGGAATTTGAACAGCAACTTTTTGTTCTCCGTAATTTGTTCTGCTATGTGGTATAAATACAAGACTGTTTCTGAATTTGTGGCTTGTCATTTTCACACTGTACTTACTCTGGAAGGAATGTTTTTCAGACTTAAATTACCGCATAACTTCAAGAAATTGTATGTGTAGGGTTTGGGCACCCTTTAATATTTTATTTTTGGAATGATATATTTGGGTGCTTATCATGCGTGCTAAATTTTCTATTGCACGTAGCGCACGGTTTTGAAGTATTTGAAGTGATCCTAAATTATACTGTGTTGTAGTCGACCAAACTAGAAAACAGTACGTTAAACGGGAATGTATAAGTGCGTTGTAGATATGGTGCTTGACGCTTGTTGGTAGTAAATATCGTAGCCTGTTTAATGCACCTAAAGCGCGGGCAATACTACTTTTGAGAGAATTTATATATGGTGACCAGGACATGTTCTCGTGGAATATAACTCCCAGGAATTTTGCCGTGCTTGACTGTTGAATATGTACTTTTTGAAACTGTAGCTGGGGATGACAAGTTGTGTTCGTTCCTTTTGATTTAAAGAGCAAGTATTTTATTTTACTTATGTTTAATTGAAGTTTATTTGCATTAAGCCACATACCTAATCTTTGTAGCCAGTTGTTGGCTTGTTCAAAAATGCTGTGCAATTATCTTCTTGAGAAGAACACATTAGTGTCATCGGCATATAGTATAATGTTAGAGTAGCCCTGTACTTGTACGATATCATTTATATGCAACAAAAAGAGAACAGGTCCTAAAACGGAACCTTGGGATACACCGTACTTTATGGTCTGAATTTCAGATGTAGTGCCATTGATCATAGTATACTGTGTTCGTGCCATTAGATAGCTTTTTATTAAGGATAAGGCGATGCCACGAATACCACAGTGAGGTAGTTCTTTCGAAAAGAATTTTGTATTGCACGCAATCAAAAGCTTTTCTAAAATCAAGAAATAAACCAAGTGTTAGCATTCGGTTTTCAATGTTGTGAAGAATGTGTTCTTTTATTTCAAGTAAAGTTGTTTCTGTAGATTTATTTTTACAGAAACCATATTGCTCTTGTGTAAAGTCTTTCGTGTTTATAAAGCCGCTCAGTCTTTTGTTTATTATATGTTCAGCAGTTTTCGCGAAAACTGATATTACGGATATTGGTCTGTAGTTATTCTTATATCTAGCTGGTCCACCTTTATGAATAACGGTCGCTCGAGCTAGCTTCATTTTATCCAGGAACACGCCATTTGAAAGAATCAAATTACAGATATGAGCTAGATTAACTAACGGCTTTCACCGGCTGCACCTTTACATTTTCAGCACCAGACGCACAACCGTCTTTAAGCGATGAGATTATGCCCTGGGCCTCCGGCTCGTCAGTGGCTACCAAGGACAAAGTAGAAGAACACCTATTGGCAATATATTCAGATGGAAAAACTGGTGCATTAGGTTGTGAAGATGAACCAACATCTGTAAAATGGGCATTGAATAAATTTGCAATTTGAACGTCTGACAGACCGCTTTATTGATGTAACTTTATTTCTTTCGGGGAGTCTGTTCATTACCCCATTGATTGCCCTCCACATGAGATTTGAATTTCTCGATACAGCAATGAATTCATTCATGTAACATTCTTGTTTGGCACGTTTAATATCATAATTTAATTTATTTTGTTCAGATTTAAACACCCACAAATCTTCTTTGCTTCTACTTTTTAGAAAAATTTGAAAAAGCTCGTTGCACGCTTTAATTCTGTTATAGAGCTCACGTGAAATCCAAGGATTTCTTGATTTTTTGTGTTTTTTGAGGTTCACAAGAGGGAAGCATCTGTTGCATAAAATCAAGAAGATAAATATAGAAGCATCGTAAGCTGTGTTTGCGTCTGTATTCGCAATGACTTCGTTCCACCGATAGCAAGAGATTAACTCTATAAATTTTCTTACGTTTTGTTTGGAATATATCCTTTTGTAGTTTTCAAGTGTTGTTTGACAAGGCGGTTTAGGAGGTAGTAGACAATGTATTGGTAAATGATCGCTAAGATCACACATCAGGACCCCTGCTCTGGTAGACTTCGTAGGAAAACTTGTTATACAGAGGTCAAGCATTGTCTGTGTTGTAGGTGTAATTCGTGTGGTCCCATCAATGACATTTGAAGACCGGTATGATTCAAAAGTTTCTTGAAAACGCCTTAAATCTGGATTGGTCTGGCAAGCGTTTATGTTAAAATCGCCTATTAAGGCTGTTTCATGTTTTAGTCAAGTGCTTAGTTCTAATAATTTTTCGGCGAATTCCAGAAACATGCCGAATGACCCAGAGGGCAGAGGATAAACAAGCTCAATCAATGTTTTCATGCACTGAATACCAATACATTCATATGATTCATTAACAACTCTGAGATCAGAAAGAATACTATAAGACATATCAGAACATACATAAATAGCAATGCTGCCACCCCACTTCTTCATTGGATGTGCAGATAATATACAGTCATTTCCCGAAATTTAAACATATTCATTCATTGATGTAAGCCATGTCTCGCTAAAGCAAAGTATGTCAAAGCGGTGTTTCAGATCCACTAGGCATAAATTAACATCAAACTTACTTTTTAAACTTCTTATATATAGATGCAAAATAGAAAGAGGACACTGGTTCTTTAAAGCTGCGACATCACGAGAAAACTGGAACTGCAGGGTCGCCATCTCGGTTTAATGAAACCTCGTGCCTCTTTTGCCATCACCTTTCACGCTATTCCTTCGAGGCCGCAAGAGTGGCAAGGTCATCCTCAGTGCGTATCACAACAGCACGGTCACCACTCTTTCTGCGCACCAGAACTTTTCAATTTGAGTACCATACATAAGCATATCCTTAAGTTTGGGCCCACTCCTTTGCATTTGATAGGACTGCGTGCGATAGCCGTATCATATTCTCACACAAGAAAACATGTCCTTCACCCTTTAGCTGCTTTTTGTTTGCAAGCCAAGTATCGCGGAGTTATTGGCGGGTAAAGCGTACAATGATGCCACGAGTTTTGCCAGGTTTAGCCGGAAGTCTATGCATAGCAGCAACGTCACTCTTGTTTAAAAGTGGGAGCTTAATTTGAGCAGCTTTTTCATTTACCTTCATCATTAGGTCTTCCTTCTCACTTTCTGGAACACCGTGTATTTCAATGTTTAATCTGCGACTGCGACATTCAAGGTTGTCGAGATCCAGTTTGATCTGAGCCAATTCATTGCTCGAATCAGTGCGTTCAAGTTTATCAACTCTATTCGATAGGTGCAAGGTAGCTTTTTCTTGTACTTGCAGTCTCATTTGAAATTCTTCGAATTTGTCAGAAAGTTATTGAACGGATGATTCGAGCTCCACCAGTCTTGTTGGCAAAACTAAGAGGGCATCAAGCTTCTCTTCAATTGACACAAGACGAGTAGAAAATTCAATGGGTGTCGTTTGGCGGGTTGTTTCAGCACCCGCCTCCTGCCCTACCCTTTGACATGATTCGCATTTTCACGATTTCTTAGAGCTATCTCGCTTTCCAGTGAAAGCTTCTTCAGCTATACCGGAGCAAGTTCCGAAATGAAATGAATTTACACTCACAACAACACATGTACAAGCCATTATCAGGTACGGCTAATCGGCATACATAACACCGCAATATTTTAACAGGTGATTGAAATATTGGCAACTCTAAAGATTTGGCAGCAGCAGCAGGTTATAAAAAAAATATTAGAACACACCAACCTGTAAAACGCAGAAGCAGAGCTCAAAATTTGCTGT